ATCTCAGGTTGGATTTCCTGTCTTTGCATCTCAAAAAATGAACCACGGTTACTTCCCAGAAACAAACAATTTAGAGTTTTCAGCAACCTTGTGAGTAGTTTCTCTAATGAGAGTATACTGCGATATCTCGAATATCGTGCCAACTGGAACATGAGGCGATCTGTGTGCAGCACATTCGGTTGTAGAATATCATAAACGAGAATTTCAGTTGAGTCTCTCGTGATTTGCAAATGAGTGTATTTCTCGAAAAACGCCACATGCTTATTCTCAGTAATCGTGTCATTTTTACCTTTGAAACGACTCAAGCTGAGTCGAACTACTATCCAGAGGCTGATCGTGAATGTAACGATCTAACCAATTAGAATAACAAAAATGGAACACTTTGGAACATGATGAATTTCTCATGTGGCATTTGTTTTGAAATAGCAACATTTAACCTAATAAGTAAAGTGGGACAGCCTTCTCCAACAAATAAATGACGGATACTATGTAGTGAATATAGCTCACGTGTTTTTTTCATCCATCGTATGTGGTTCGCTTTCCTGTCCCTTGTTGACCAGCGTCCACGCTCAACACACACATGCATGTATCACACATAAAATGGACGCATTTTCGTTCCTCTATCACCCAGGCTGAAGTAAATTTACACTCGCGAGTGGCGACTGTTTGGCCACTTTGTAACTGGAATACTTTTGAACAAAGTTCTTACCGAAACCCGAAAACAGTTTTAATCACTCGCTTCTTGAAGCCCTGGAGCTGAGTGCCACTCAGAGTATCACCCTCATATGCCGCATGGAATACACAATGCTCCTGCAAAATAAACCTTCTGTCAAGAGTCCTTTTAGAGTTGTAATAGTGCGTCCTCAATAAGCCGTCCGGCTGATGCACTACTAAGAAGGCCAATAAATTATTATCACCAGTTAAGCATGAAATACTTGTACGCGAACTAAGTCCAACTTGAAAAGCGAGCCACACAACTTTCTTGGCTTGTTTGCTGAGCTGGGCGATGGGGACACAGGACAACGGAACAACCAATAGAATTGACCGACCGAACAAATAATCGTGATCAAAGGTCATCCCCGGCTAGTAGCACGTATAGTAACACACGCACAACACTACCCAACGCACAACCACCAACCCACCGCTACGCACCACTACACTCCCCAACAACGCGCTGATGATGTCACCTCGATTGATGATGAAACGTTTGCGATCAAATCGCCCAGCTCAGCGAACAAGCGAACAACCACCGTCTATGCTACCTGAGCTACCGACATTTTCCTCTATAGAAAACATAACTTTCTGGTAATTGAGCGGGAACTGGAATCTCTAAAGGTAGTTCATCGTTTATAGGTGTCTTTTGCAGTAGCACTATGTATTCCATACTTTGTTGCACAGCATACTGTAAGTGGAAGACAGCGCGTAGGCTTGGGATTAGTTCCTGAACATTATTCACTGGTCCACTGCTTGAATCCCATTCCGTATGTAATCTTCACCGTGGTTGCGCATACTTTACACATACAAACGCTCAGGTCGTAGATCGGTCTATCGGTCTCAAAACTGGTACCTTTACTAGACATCCGCCCGACTGCTCCTAAGTAGTCAACTATATTTCAACAAGGTGATCTTAAAGACTGAGTCGAGCAGCGTGGTCGACGTACGCACTAGTCTTCGCATTAAAATGAGAACGAGAAGGCAAAACCAGTTTGCCTCCAAAACAGCATAAATGTAATCAAATTCATTCGGCTTGCTTTGCTTGACGCAAAACTACGCATGCAGAGAAACCAGTGCATCCGAACGCATTTCTCCAGTTCAACTCCGAAAACCATTTCGGGCAAAGCTAAACGGAAGGCATTTGAAGTCTTCCACAATAGGCCATGAGAACAGGTAACAGGGAGAGATGAGATTTCCCCCATACGCCTGTTCCATTCTGAAAAGGAAAATTTTGTTCTATTCTTTTAGCGTGCCATTGCTAAGTATCATGCATAATAGCAACTACACCGGCGGCAAAATAGTCTGACCCAGTTTCCTCCTCATGACGAGTTGTCCATGTAAACGGTGTGTTTGGCAAGCAAACCATGATTAGGTTTGTGCAAACATCAATTGAATTGCAGATTTACGACCCATATAATTTGCTCGCATATCTCTTTCCGGGGCCACTTGACTGATATGGTTATCGTTGACATGTCTTGAATAATGAACATTTATACCTTGCACTTGCAGCATAGTCCGTCGTTCATGAGAATCGTCGAGTATGCTTTTTGTTAGTTTAATTCAACACTGTGTGTCAGAACTTACCAAGGCACTGAATGTAAGTTGTAGCTACCAAGGTGTTCGAGATCACATATCTTCAAAAGCCCCAGTTGGAAGTTCTGGAGCACTATTGTTCTGACCTAGCAACAGGTTGTGCAAGGCCAAGCAGTCGGTCGTATCCATCTTGACATTGTGAATACTACTCAAGATGTGGGAGTGAACCTCTGTGGCATTTATCTTCTCGAATATTCTGCTAGAACTAACTGACCTAAGTAGTGCCTTTGGTACAGCTAACGTGTGCCGTGGGTTTTTAAACACTGGTATTTACTTTGCTTTCGCAGAGCGTTGCCTCAACTTCGAAGACGAGACAACATGTGCACCATTTTGTTAGTGGTATTGTCCAGCGAAAAACCGGTCTAGTGCCAGTTGTGTAGCGCGAATTATGGGTGAAACCTTCAAACTGATACTGATTGTCACTCATATCAAGATCACAGAGACTCATCACCAAAGGGAAAAGTTGTGACAATTTGATTAGTTGCATTATCGCTTGAGGATTTAAGTAGTGACGCAAAGTCCCTCATAACTGCACAGAGTTACTTTCGGGACTCGGCCAACGGTATCGTTGCCTGATATCCAAACCAAACTAGCGTGGCGCAGGTGCATAATGAACCAAGTAAGTTAAATGTTATATTTGGTGCCATCCAAAAAGGATGAATGATTATTTTGATTTGTGTAGGAAAGCAGGAAATTTCGAGTAAGCCTTTTGGCTCACAACGCGAACTGGTTAACTGGAAATGGAGTCCGTCGGCATAATTTGAAAAATTAATTACACAAACTTAGCGAATATACACTCATCTGCAAACTAATTTGGTTCTTTTCGAGAGACTCACCTGGAACCCAGCTGAATCTCTC